CCCCCCGCCGCCTCCCACCCACCCCCTTTCCCGCCAAGGGGGGCGCTCGCCCCGCCCGTGCGCGCTCCCGACGCCGCCGCCCCATTGTCTGCGGGGAGCGGGCGCGCGCGCGGCCCCGCCCGGCAGGGGGCGCTGCCGCGTTGCCCCCCCCAGTCACCTCACGCCCCCCCCCCGCCATTTTGTGGCGGGCGCCGAAAGACGATGGGGAGGGGGGGGTGTCCTCGGGAGGAGGTTTGTGATCCTGCGTCGACCCCCCTGCACCCGCCACAGCCCCCCCGGGAATGCGGGACAGCGCCTCTCCCCAGCCCTGCCTCCCGCTCTCTGCCCGTACACACGCTCCCGGTCACAGCCCTCAGCATCCGCGGAGATGGCGGTGTAGGTACCGGCATCCCCTCGCCAGCCTCAGCGGCGGCCGCGCAGGTTTGATTCCGTCCGCCGGTAAAGGTCCGCGCTGACAAAGGGGGAGGCAGCCCTGCCTCCTACACGCGGCGGCAGCTCCGCAGCATCGCCCTCAGCACCTACAGCGGGCAGGCACAGGGATGGCGCGGCGTGCGCCGGGCAAGGGCGGCTGTCACCGGCGTTTGGTTCAGCAGACACCTGTCGGAAGGAGCCAACAGGTGACCCTGAGCTATTGGGGAGCGCTGGGGCTCCCTCACCGCTCCACGCAGAGCCTGTGACCAGCGTGAAGCACTGGAAAGCGGAGGGAGAGGCTGAAGAAACAAGTTCATGCGCCCAAAAAGATCCTTCTCCACCCTGCCTGCTCCATTTGAGATGCTCCGGCTCGGCCCAGGAGCATTATGGACACAGTGGAGATCCCTTGATGGAATTACGACCTTGTGTTAACAGGGTTACTATCCCTAGTAATTGGATTTAGTGGAGAAACTACGGGAGGGCAGGCTCCAGGTTTCAGTTTTTTCCCTGAGAAACATCGAGGTGCAAATCAAGGGCAATGTCCAGCCTAAGAACAGGCTTTTTGTAAAGGGGAAAGCTCAGGAGGGAATAAAGAAGAACAGATGTGGAACCTGCAGCACCAGAGGGTTTTTTAAAGCAAACCGGGTTGGGAATGGTCTCTTTTGGTTTGGAATAAAGGTCTGTGGAGTGTCAAAGCCCTTCTCTTACTACAGTATCAGTAACTGCAGAACTACGAAGTACAGTCACGTGAGGGGGAAAAAGATGGATTTATGAACATGCAACTATGAGATGTATGGTTTGGAGGTTGTTTTTTCAGATCAATAGGAACAGGTAAGGCATCTAAAACCAAGGGAATGGCCCATTTTTAAACTGCCTAGAAAGTACCCACTATAATAAATTATCTGGAGAATTTTCCCATCTTCTCTCAAAAAAGTACCACAGTGTTGGGAATGGTAAAATAAACACTACAGTGCTACAAGAGGATCTGTCCTTGTGACTCAACGGCAAACAAGATGAATTACAGTGCAAGCAGCTCAAGTCCAATTCTGGGACAGCAGCTCTTCCTACAGGCAGTAGGGATGTACCGGGAACAGCAGACTGACTGGGAATCAGCTGAGCACCCTCCAACAGGATTATTTCTTCATCTAAAGACAGCCAAACCAGAAGGGACTCCCAGGCCTTATTTCTTAAAGCATGACAACACCTGGCTTTCTAAAGTCATCTCAAAGCCCACCTTTACCTGCCAAAGTTCTCAGCTCAGCAGGCAACAAGTCCTGTCCAGATCCAAGAAATCTGGAAAGTGAAGCATCATTAGTCAGTCCCAGCTGATGTTCAGGCACAGCCACATCCAGGCCATTTAGAAGATCTGTTGGCAAAGGTTTGTCAGGAATTAAACCCATCAATTGCTGCAGCAACACCGAGATGTTTCCGGAACTGCTGGAGCAGCCCCAGGTGGGATGAGCTCACGGTGATCAGCAGATCCTGCCCCAGCCAAGAGGAACTGCAGGGAAACTCTCTGAGGGCAGATTTACCTGTCCCTGCAATGGGCTGAAGCTGATGTAGAGTTTAATTACTGCTCAGAGCTCTTCTGGCCACTTTGTGTTCATAGGGGCTTTTGTTTATTGGAAAAGGGATCTGGGAATTTATCCTACCATTCTCAGGCCAGGCTCTTCCTTCCCCTCCTCTCCTTTTGGCCCATACTGCTGCTAGTGGAAACAAGACACTACTTTTAACATTAAATTATAAAGGAATCCTTTAGGGAGGGAAGCATGGAGCCTTTATCTTCCATACCTCTTTCTTCATCCCTAAGACCAGGCTCGTTTTCCTCACAGATGCAGTTTGTCACCTGTTTCATTATTACCAAGGTTTTCCCTGGCAGGTGCTCCAGAAGGTAGGACACCTTCCCAAGTGTCACCTGCAGTGGGAATTGACCTGCAGAGCTGCAGCTGCGTTAGGAATTCTGGGTTGTATTCTGGGTTATACAAGTCTGGTGTCCCCAGGGCCTCCTCTGGCCACAAGCTGCTTCATTTGAGTCACTTAATTCAGCTTAAGCCTGGCTTTTGCAAAACCATAATGATCCCAGCTGAAATAAATACTCAAATTCTGCCCTGGCTTAATTCCATTAAAGCACTACCCAGATCCTTTTGCAACCTGGCCCTTGAAGTTCGCCTGAAAAAAGAAGGAAACGGGCTAATTGCTTTCAAAAACGCAATTTTTGAAAGCGAGGAGACAGGATTGATCTTTCCAAAGTGATTCCAGGCGCTGGAACTACAGGATGCCCCTTCCTCGGCGAGGAGCCCCAGGCAGGCACAGCCCCCGGGCTGCGGTTCCCAGGCCGTGGCCCTGGCCCAGGACACCAGCTGGGTTTCATAAGCTGGGTGGAACCGGGAGCAGGGAGTTACACAAGCGTTTTCCCGGCCGTGCCGTGCGGTGTCACGGCAGGACAGACCCGGAGCGGCGCTCACGCAAACCGTCCCCGCGGTCGGACTCCTCGGCTCAGGGGGGGATTAGAGCTCAGCCGGCTCCTTCCCCACGGACCGAATGTGCATTTTCAACTCGGACACGGTTCTCTCCATCTGAAGTAACTTGCGGTTCGTTTTCAGAGCAAGGGGAGCACGGTGCACCCACGGCAGCCCGCCGAGGCCAGCGGGACTGCGGGACAGGAATTGGGGACAGAAACATTCCCGGCGTTTGGACAGCGCAGGAGGCCAGCGGGCTGTGACTCAGCACAAAGAGCCAGCCAGGTCCTTGCCTCGGCAGCGCTGAGCTCGGGATAAACAAACTCACCACTTTCACCCTGACCTCCTTAGCAGATGGACAGACCCAAAAAATTGAGGCCAAGGCACTTACACTATTGTACACTTGTCCCTCTTTCCCTGTCCCCGGCTGGAAAAACATTATTCCTTTTTTTTTCAGCTGTGTGGAAGCCAAGCACAGCCCAACACCTAAACCAGAAGATACAAGACCCAGTACCCCTAAGGAGAGATAAATTTTAATTAATCATTATTCCATTTCTCAATTACCAGCTGCGAGAGGCTTTCACATCATTTAAAACCTGTGTCTCTGTAAGAGGCAGAGCTGACTCATCGGGGAGTCACAGGATGCATTCACTTAGGGGACCTTGTGGGAATTGTGAGGCTCCTGGGCTCACGTCACTTAAAGCCAAGATTCCCTTGGACCTGGTGTCATGGAAGGGCAGGTCCTGGCATTAGCTGCCCCCTTCATTGACAATCCTCAGAGATGCCAGTGGCCAGGAGGGACTTTATTCCTGGATGAGTGCAGCCACCACGTCCCTGCCAGCTCCACAAAAGGACAGGGAACGTCACCGTGGGTGAAGTAGGCTCCTGAGTAAACACCCTGGATCTGCAGGCTCCGAGCCCTGAACCCTCCTGCTCACCAGGCAGAGGCTGCTCTGGCACCTGTACATCACCTGTCCCTGAGCATCCCCTGTCCTTCCCACGGGATGGTGCTGTGGGCACCAGTGCAGGATTTATCCTCGAGATTAAGTCAGGGTGAAAGTTCAGCCCTGCTCTAAGGCAGAGATTGCATCATGCAGCACCACAACAGGTTGTGTTCCAGGGACGTGTCCACGCAAGTGGAGTCCCCAGGAAGCTCTGACCTGCGGGTTCCCTGGAGGACACGCCAGCTGGAGCACCGCTGTGGTCTCATCCCAGTTCTCCAACCCCATCACCCAGTCACCCACTGGGGCAGAGCCGCAGTCCCGGGGGGCTGTGCAGGTTTCAGAGGGGCTTTGGGAGCCATCTGCTGTTATCAGCCCAGATTACAGCGTGGGGGCGAAGGGCACCAGAAGGGCTCTCCTCCCTTCCAGGGGCACGCGGATGCACTTGGACCATCTTCACAGAATCACTGAGGTTGCAAAAGACCTCCGAGGACATCGAGTCCACCCTGTGCCCGATCCCCACCTTGTCCCCCAGCCCAGAGCACTGCATGCCATGTCCAGTCCTTCCTTGGACACCTCCAGGGGTGGGGACTCCACCACCTCCCTGGGCAGCCCCTTCCAATGCCTGACCACCCTTTCCAGGAATAAATTCCTCCAGAGAAAATCTTCTCCAGATTTAACCACCAACAGAAATAAGAGCCCCTCAGGGAGCTCACTACTGCGCCCACAAGGACTCAGGATTCTCCCTAGGAAACAATTCCAGTACTTGAAAATGAGGGTCTGCACCGAGCAGAGATGGGATTCCAGCCCCCCAGACCAGGCAGGTCCCGAAGTTAATCCCAACTCTCACAGGCCCAGGTGGAAGTGGCAGAGCAGGCTGTCTGCATCCCGCTCCAAGGGCCCGGGAGAGGACAGGGAGCTGCTGGGCACTCCAGTGCCAGTGCTTTGGGAACTGAGGGGCTTTGTTCCTGTGCAGGCAGCGGAGCAGCACTGGCCCTGGCACGGCACCGTGCCCGTGTCCCAGCCTGCCCCTCCACCCGGGTGTGCAGCACATCACACTGCCAGCAGGGCGAGTGTGCAAACCCTGCTGGGCCTGGGAGGGCGAGTGGGAGAGCCCTGAACCTTCAGCACAGCGAGTGTGCAAGGCACAGCCCTCTGCCAGCACGGTGAGTGTGCCAGGGGTGTCCTTCTGCCAGCACAGTGAGCGTGCAAGGCGTGCTCTTTTGCCAGCATGGTGACAGTGAGTGTGCAAGGTGTGCCCCTGTGTCAGAACAGTGAGTGTGCAAGGCGTGCCCCTCTCTCTCCACCATGGTGAGTGTGCAAGGTACGTCCCTCTCCATCATGGTAAGTGTGCAAGGCGTGTTTCTCTCCAGCACGGTGGGTGTGCAGGCTGTCCCACCCCAGCACAGGGAGTGTGCAAGGCACGTCCCTCTCTCTTCAGCACCATGAGTATGCAAGGCATACACCCGTCCATCACGGTGAGTGTGCAGGGTGTCCCTCCCCAGCTCAGGGCGTGTGCAAGGCACGTCCCTCTCTCTTCAGCGTGGTGAACACTCGAGGTGTGCAAGGTGTGTCCGTCCCCATCACGGTGAGCGTGCAAGGTGCCCCTCTGTCAGTACAGCGTGCGCGAGGTGCCCCCCCCAAACCGGTGAGCGTGCAAGGCGCGCCCCTCCGTCCCTCCCCACCACGGTGAGCGTGCCAGGCGCGCCCGCGTGTGCAGGGTGCGCACAAGGCGCGTGCCCGACGCGTCCCATCA